TATTTATAAATTTCGAACATTACAAATCGTTTAACTTCAGTGGATTCTCATCAGACATTAGTATTTTTACGAGAACATGTAAATTCATCGTGGAGAGCTCAGTGTGTGTGTGGCAAAGGACAAAGCTAGCTAGCTTCCCAGCAAATCGTATCTACATTAACTCGTAATTAACTCGCTCATCGTAAACCCTCGACAAGATATCACGGAAATTCCAGACTAGAAAGAAAAATTTATATTGTTTGTAAGTTTGTGAAACGTTTGTTTATAAATTATTGTTTGTAGTAACTATTTGTAATAATTGTTATTGTAAATTGTACTGTTGTGTGTGTATTAAAACATGTCTGTGTTAAAAAAGAAAACTGTGTATCAATCTTGTTGGCAAATGTCATAAACTGACTATATATCGGTATATATTTAAATACTAAATCCAAAGCACAATTTAACTACTAAATTTAAATTTATCAGTTAACTCAATTTCAGACCATTTAAAACTCTAATACGTAACATACCATATTTATATAAACTGGTATATAAATTTCTTAGACTTGTTTTATAACCACTTTATTGCTGCAAATGTTTAGTATATGTAAGGTCCCAATCATTTTTATTAGATTTTAAATTTTGAACGCCAGCATTCATATCAAACTTTATGTTAGAAACCTACAAACTTGTTATCAAAACCTTTAAAACGCACAAGAAAAATACTCATTACTCATAAACACTAATAAACTTACTGAATTAACTTATATTATAGCAATGTTAAAATGATTAGTGAAAACATAGAAATTTGAGGTAAACACACCAAATATTCTAGACAAGACCTTAACATTTACGTGTATTTGTATACATATACATTTTTGTATATATATATATATATATATAAAACTGTATAATATTTGCAGTTTTCAAGTCCTACTTGAACAATTCTATTCTAAGTTTCGTATTATCAGATAAAATTAACTATTATGGTTAAGCTAATACTGACTTGCCAGTAAACCAGTACTAGACAATAGAAAAGTGTTATTTAGTAATATATATATAACACAAACAAATTGGTAGTTTTCCATTTCTAATTTAAAAATTGTAATTATAATTCACTCTTTCTCTTAGAAGCACATGAAT